GTAAGAGGAGTCCAGATGGGAATGTGGCTACTTTGGGAGAGGAATCTTTTAGTGAGATAAATAGCAAGGCTCTGTAAGTAAATCTCCAAGATTAAATGTGAAATTTTAATTTTTTTTGGGGGGGGGGACCAATAAGGGGATCACAACTCTCAGCACGGTGTGGTCTGCACCAGGCTCAGTCAGTGAGCGCACCGGCCATCCCTATATAGGATCTGAACCTGCGGCCTCGGTGCTACCAGCGCCGCACTCTCCCGAGTGAGACACGGGGCTGGCCCTAAATGCGGAATTTTAGAAAGAAAACTTTTTATGTGTGTTTTTAGTAAATTATTTCTATATGGTATCCTAGTATTCTCAAACAGTTAAGTGACAATATTTTATCCAATAACTCGAAAGCTAGACTAATAAGATAAAAGACTTCAAAGTGTGGTTTCTAAAACTCCAGCTTTCTGCTCCTAAGTTAAGTTGTACCAGTGACTAATTTACGCATATCTGGGAACCATTTTTCTTGGCAGCCTGTTCTTGCTGGACCTGGTTCCTGTTGCTCAGATGAGTCAGGGTCATGTTTTGGCTTCTAAAGACCCTTCCTTCTGCCCAACACAGTTTTCTAAGGGTTTCCACGAAAGCATTCTGAGATGTGATCAAGACAAGCAGTAGCTATGGGAAAAGGACAGGGGGTGGACAGAAGGAAGCTGGCTTATTCCAGCAGGTGACTAGCAGCTTATTCAATTAAACTGTCTCCTTTATTAGCATACATAATTAGGGGTAAAACTAAATTTATAGTGCAATTATTTAAAATTTTAATAGTCAATTTGTATTCACACTTTTTTTTTTTTTTNTGAACTCTAAATTTTCACAAAAGAATATCCACCTCATTACCATATACTTCAAAGTGAAGATGAGCCAAATAACTCTAATATCCTGGAAATGTAAGGTGAAGGTTTCACCCTGAGATCTGAAATCCTAGCCTAGCATGCTCAGAGAATACCTGAAACTAAGAAGCCTTAGGAGGCACTGAGTAGAGGTTACATTTTCCCCCAAACTACTGGCAGCCTCTCTTGTGCCACCTGGGTCTGTACAGCTTAGACAGTCACAGGCCACTCTCTCAGTCTCACAGGGCGAGCACTCAGTGACATGCACGCTTCTCCGGGTGAGTTAAGATGAAAGGCAGACACAAGTACATGCAGAAATAACCTCTAGAACTCAAGCTCCATCTGGCAACACGGAGCCAGGCATTCTCTGGCACTGAAAGCTGCTCCCATTGTAAGATAATTAGCTACGAAAAATATTTTTACTTTGTGGGTCAGTATGTTCAGCAACAAGCTTTAGTTTCTGCCACAGAAATTAAATTCAACATGGAATCAAAATACATTCTGCTATTTTATCATATGGAATATTGTACAAAGGAAATGACATGAAACCAATTTCACTTGTGAAAGCTTGCTGACTGTTCTGGAGAGAAAGAAAATAGCATTGAGAGGGAAAAAAAGGTCCTTCTCGAAACAATGGCTTCCTAGGTTCATCTTTCAACATGAGGGCCAAGTCATGAATTCCAGTTAACACACACCTTGGAGGGAGCCAAGTTTGGAATGTGTACAACAAAGAATTTATTCAGAGATCTCTTGGATGTTTTTCCTCCTCAAAAATAATGAAAGTAAGAGGAGTCCAGATGGGAATGTGGCTACTTTGGGAGAGGAATCTTTTAGTGAGATAAA